TATAAATACGTACAGTGGTATTTGAATCTCTATTATAGTGTAAATATTGCTTTATTCATTGAATTCATACACTTTTTATTGATACACTGAAAGTAATGTTAAAATCTTATTTTACATTATATTCGAGTGAAACTGTACTTGTGTACAGCCCTAAGCATTGTGTTGAACTAATTATGGTTAGAAATTATAATGATTCAACACAACTTTCAATAATTTAACATAAATAAATCTCTTGTATTTAAACCATCCTTAATTTTGCTTTCCCCACATTGAGCAGTAGTATAACAGTTATATTTTATGTTAAATTCTATAATTTTAAATATAAACTTTTTTAAAATGTAATTTTTATGCTTTAAATGTTGGAACAATAGCTAAAATAAAACATTTATTAATCCATTGATTGAAACATATTTTGAATGATTTTTATTTGAAATCATAATAAAATTATTCATACAATGCATTGATTTATGAATAAAAAGATCGATAATATTGTAAAGTTATTAATGAAATGATTTTTATATAAAGTATAAAAAGACATTATTATAATTAATGAACGGATTTGAATCAAAAACAAAGTTATGGGAGATTAACGTTATCGGGTCTGCGATACCAGAAGCGCGCCCTATAGTCGTCACTACAGGTTAGGAAAGCCGGTTGTGTTAGAGAGTGACAGAACTGACGGATAGCGTTGTTATGGCCTAACGATAGCAATTGCTGTCTTTCGGCGTTACGTGAGTCCCAACAGCAAAGACTCGTCGACTTCTCGTCCGGGAAAAGAACTATCATTTTTGCATCAAAAATACATTTTAATTGATTCTAAACAACGGCAACACAACTATTGAACAAACCATAGTCTTCGGTGTGATTGAAACAGGCCTGTGCTCTATGGGTCTGTTTGCCAGAAGCGCCGGCACCCGTGTATGCGATCAGACATCTGGACATCGATAGCTCCCATAACTTGACTAACGAATCCTTTCCACTCGACAGCACATACTTTTGGCATTCAAATAGAAATGTAATGACAAAACGCTAATCAAAAAACACATTAAAATGTCAAATACTTTGGCATTCCTGGAGAAGACAACGGAAGAGATCTCATATCCGTCGTGAGCGCGCGGGAAGATATTGATGCACCGATTGCTCACTCCATCCCAGAGTCTAATATCTCCGTCTTTAGAAGAGGTCACATAAAGGGATGCATTCGGCGAATAGTTTACTTGAGTTATGGGACCCGAGTGTTGGTCGGAGGGAATGGCGGACACAAAACATTGAGCGGTATTCACATCGTATAAGCGAAGGGTCGGGTGTTGTGTCCCAACGAGCAGATAATCACCCGACGGATGGAATGCTAGACAACGAACGATATGCGCTTCCTTTCAAATGAAGACATTTTCGTAAATTAAGGCTAAAAATACGCGACAAAGACATACTTGGATTGATTTAAGAGCTCTTTTAACCGATGGTTTGGCGTAATCGTAGAGTTTGACTGTCATGTCATGACTTCCGGACACTAATAGGAGTTCTGTCGGATGAAACTGAACGCATGAGACCTCTTCCATGTGATCATAAAGTGTACGAATGACGGGATGGGTATCCGTTTGGCCGGAAGCCTCCTGTATGTCAGAACCGGGACATCCCTTCGCTATCATTCTCTCCACATCTAGTATTTTGATGGACGCGTCCACAGAACCGGTGGCCACGAGTTGTCCGTCGGGCGAGAAGGCGCCGGCACGACACGGGCCCTTATGGGACGTCACGTACACCGTCTCGTACTGACTCGTCTGTACGGAACTGCCCGTCCGTTCGGTCTCGAAGTCCAGATCAATGCCAGAACCGGGATGTATGGCATCGCCCGACACCGACGGGTTGTCCGCTAATAAGTGATACAAATAAATAAATGAATTCATTTACAAAGTGTTTGCTTCCAAACAAAACCTTCTTCTGATTTGAGAGCATTGGAGACGAGATTAAGCAACCGATCAGATGGTGGACAGGCGTCCGTCACTTTGGCCGCAGTCGACAGATTGATGGCCAGGTTTTGGTGGCCGTCATAGAAGAGTTGGCTGAAGACAATAGACAACACATGAGAAACAATATGACTACAAAATGTGTGTCAATACCTAATCATAAATTTGTACAACAGATCCCTTTCCCGAACGCCGACTTTGGTCTCCCGATTGGCCATCGATTCGATATATTCGGTCAATTCGGTCAACAAATGGATTCAATTCACAAACACTTGTTTCAAACAAAACACCAAATGTTATGTCTTTTCACATAAATTACATTCACTTTAAGTTTATATGAATTCAATTCATGTCTAAAACTAATTGTTTTTCTTTAGTTTTTGTTTTAATTATTAAATTCAAACTCAAATAAACTAATAATTATTTAACTGATTATACGTTTAATTAATTCAATTAAAATTAAATCAATTATAAAAATCTAATCAATCGAAACGTTATTTATGTATTAATTAATAAAGTTTTCAAAACAAGTTTTATTTGAAATTTAAAATTAAATTAGATTTGATTGAAGACAACAAACCATTGCCTCAAAGACTCTTCTGATCGGCATTTGAATCGCAAGGCATTCAATATCTGGTGGAATGGCTTCAAGTGGTGACCAAACGAGTGGTGAAAGCGTGGAAAGTGTGGAAAGGGTTGGCAAAAGGGATGACTACCTCTCGTGGGACGAGTACTTCATGTCTGTGGCCTTCTTGTCGGCGATGAGGAGTAAAGACCCGAACAGTCAAATCGGCGCCTGTATTGTCAACCAAGACATGAAGATTGTGGGCATCGGCTATAATGGGATGCCTATCGGTTGCAGCGATGACGCCCTGCCCTGGAATCGCACCGCCGATGACATACTCGACACGAAGTATCCGTACGTATGTCACGCAGAACTGAACGCCATCTTAAATAAGAACAGTTCCGATGTGAAGAAGTGCACCATTTTTGTCGGTCTCTTCCCATGCAATGAGTGCTCAAAACTCATCATTCAATCCGGTATTAAACGAGTGGTCTATATGTCCGACAAATACAAAGACAAACCAGAATTCATTGCATCCAAACGTTTGCTTCAAATGGCAAACATTGAGACCAAACAGTTTACCACAACTCGGGATCACATTGTCATCCGTTTCGATCAACTCAATCATTAATGCCATTCATTTTATCACTATTTTTATGTCCATTTTATGCTATATTTTAGATTTTCTAATTGTTTCTTTGACTTTAATTAACATGTATTTTGAGTTTAATTACAATTAATTGAAAGTTTTTAATGGAAATGTATTTTTCATAAAATTTAATGTTTGTTGAATGCTATGAACTGAAGACTCGTTTAGTTTTGACTCAAATAAACGTGTTTTATATGAATTATATGTTTGAAACATATTGAGAGGATTTTGACTTTATTGCTAAAAACGAGACCAAAATCTAAATAATAGATTCAATTCTTATAATAAAATACGTTATAATATTGTTATATATTTTGTAGACTATTGTATAAAATTGGGTCAAAGATTGTGAACTAAGAGGAGAGGAGAGAGTGAAGGGAAGGTTTGACTGAATATGTGAGAAGAGTGAACACAACGCGGATGTCATTCCTCTGGAAGTGAGGAATGAACTGATCGGTGGATGCGATGCAAGCAGTGGTGAAACGGATGAATCCAAGTGTTGAGGCCATGGCTGCGATTGTGTTGTGTCAGAGAGAGACCAAATCAAAGATGTTTTGGGGGAGAGCTGTAAGGAATGGTAGTGTCGGTCATTGATCTGAAGGGGAAGTTCAATGACCTAAGATATGGGTTTATATGGGTTTGTATGGGTTGGCAACCTTTACAATGATTATCCCTTTCACTGTTTGCCAGTCAACGGAGCCAACGGGGTGTCAGTCCTTCAACTATATGTAGTGAAAGGATACCTCCNCTCCCACACTTTCACGGATAGGGAGGTATGGATGGGGTGTGGAGTCTATTCTGTCGTTCACTGTATCTATTCTTATATAACTGAGAGTTTGATGACTCCTTTGCCACTCTCTTCATAACCTATGCTTAAAATACTCCTCACTTTGTCCTCAATTCACATTATTTTCACTTTTGGGTTCACTTTATTATTACGACTATTATTACTATTCTTACCATTTAATCAAACTATGCTTTCCATCACTAATCAACACTTTATGCAAATTCAATCATTTTTTCTAATTATTAATTTCCGATTATTCTAATAAACAGCTAATAAACAGATTTCATTCATATATATTCAGTACATTATATTAATTATGCAAATGGAAATTGGCAATAAACTTTTAATTATCTACTTAATTAATTAATTTAATTAATTAGTATCAATCAATAATTATATGGTTAATAATATATAGTATTTAAGATACAATGTAATAAAATATGAATATAATATTAATATTCATTGATATTTCTATAAAATTGTAATAATCAATGAGAAAGTGCTGATCAAGTATTGATAATTGTGTTTATATCGGTTAATAACTAATCATTTGAAAGCATTGGTTAGGAGAAGATATTGATAGGTGTGGAGGAATGGATAGGGAGTACACATAAGGTGTTCACAACTGGCAGTGAGAATCCACTCCCAGTTATATCATATCACGGATACTAACATTAGAGAGCAATACAGACAAA